ATAATTCGTAATTCTTGGTGATTTTAATTTGATTTTAATTAATTATAATTTAATTTAATTGCATTAATTTAGTTTTATTTTATTTCAGTACAAAAGAAATGAAATTTCGAAAAAAAACGGCAAAACGGAAAAAATCCTGCAAAAAAATCCCACGAGGAAGGGGAGTTGTCCGTGGGGCGCTTATGCACTGTGCAGCACGCCGGGTGGGCCACCGCCACCTCGAGCAGTGCGCCATCATCACCTCTGGCAGCATGCCCCCACCGCCAGCAAAAGAGACTTTTCTCCCTTGTTTTTCGTGTTGCACATATTTTTTTTTCTCTCTTCACCAGATTTTGTTACTTTGCGTGAATCTGACGGCTCTTAATTTCTATAAACAGGTTCTTCCCTTCCTATTCTTCCCCACACTTCCATTCTTCCATTTTTCAAGAATTAAAGAGAGAGAAAGAGAGAGAGTGACCTAGAGAGAGAATAAGAGAAAGAAAAGAAGAACGGTGAAGGAGAAATTATAAATGTTTGGGTAAGAAATTTAGTATTTTTTTAAACGTCTTAAGAGATATTTTTAGATAAAAAAATTATTAAATATGATAATTGTGATTTTGCCTGTTTTACATGCTTTTGTATTTGTAGGTCTAATAAGCTGAATTATTTTTTATTTCAAGCATGCTATGTGATTATAAATACTTGATGATTTGCATGTAATAAAAATAATATAAAGTTGGTATTATTACCTGGAAAATAAAAGAAACAAGAAAAAAAGAAAAAGAGAAAAGTGTAATAAAGCATGAATTGTCTGAAGTATGTATCTGTATTGACATGCATAATGCATCAAGTATCTCGTTAGGCTTTTTATCTCTGAGAGATATTTGTTCCCCTAACCCCATCTAGGGTATCTGTTTCTCCCTTCCCCATCTGCTCTAGAAAGACGTAAGAGAACCACTCCCTGTAGATGACGAAGTACTGTCTGACGAGAGTGGTGATGCAAATATCTGTTAGAGGTCACCTTTGGCTAAGTACTGTCGTGACTATAGAATATCTGATAGGACCACTATAGTCGGTACGACCGTAGTCATAAATCGTACCATGGTTTGGCAAGCCAGAAATGTATCTGAGCAAATTGCCGTTATCTGTATCTAATCTTATCATTCCACATGGGTAGTAGGAAATCTGTATCTACTTTCAAAGATGGAAGTTGTAACTACTTCGCGAAACATGACACGGAAATTGAACATTTCATGATTTATTTGATTTTCTCTATTATCTGGTGTGATGTGTGTTTGTTTTTATTATATTAACTTATTCTTTTCTCTAATAAATAAAGTGTTTTCATAATGTAAGATAGGTCTACGAAATAGTCAAATGGTAAGTATTTATATTAGAATAATTCACCTTTAAAACCTTATGATATTTAAATATTATTTTTCTTACTGAGCATAAGGAACTCATTTTTTTCATGTCCTCCCGCCCCAAATGAAGAAGAAAATGGGGAACCACCAGCTGACCTACCTATTAAAGTTTATGAGGATTTTGTGGATCCACAAAACTTGAGTTCATGATCGTTTCCGCAGTCTAATGAGTCCAATAGTATAGTGAAAGAAGTGGTTCTCTTTTGTATTTTAACTTTGTACTCTATAGTCATTTATGTCCTCAGTTATATGTATGTAATTGGAACTCATATATATTTGTAGGATTTGTATTAATTTGTTCCGATGCATAAAATATTATCATGTACTCGTAATTCTATTTCTGTATCTAACACTCATTTGTCTTAATTAGCATTTAAGATGTCATAATGATACTAAAAATTTAAGCTCATAGGTTGTATACATTTATATGGTCACATATGCAGTCTAAGTGGGAGATTGTTGAAAAATATTTTAATAAATGGGCACACATATGTGATTTAATGTGTATTGCTATCTTAAACTATAGTTAATTTTATTGGTGGTCTAACAATTAATAACTTTAAGGTATTAAATTTTCATGAATTTAATGTGCGGAGACTAAATTGTAATTTTTAATATGACGAAAGGGAAAATAAAAAATAATGAAAAAATATGTCTTTTTAAGGGATTATGGTCCCTAATTTAAAATTGTCAGTTTTTTCTTTCTCCATTCAATTGAAAAACTTACAGACTTTAAAATTATTTTTAAATTTGAAGAATCAAACCCTAATCATCAAGAACAGCTAATTCCAAAATGGATCAAGGTATATTTCCGCTCATTTCTTTTATTGTCTTCTCATTAAATTGAATATAGAAGGTGATTTTTTATTCTAAAGATTTATTAATTCAACAACTATAACTTGTTTTGAGAAGACAACTACCATGTCTCCAAACTAATTTATAAAAACTATTTTGGGTCCCACTGATCGAGTCTTAACAAAAATAGTGATGAAATATTTATGTTGATTTTGATGACATCAAATACTTAATTTTTGCAAATGAGTATTTTACCAGCTCGTACAAAGTTAAATGTGCAATTATGATTAAAAGAAAATAAAGCACTTGGATTAAAGAACTTTTAAGGAAAGTGAAGAACAAAGAAGAACAAGAGAAGAATGACAAGTTGTGATTACTTCATCTTTTAATTCTGTAAAAAATAAATAAAATATATGACTCAAGAAAATTAAAATGTCTTTTAGAAATCTTCATGATGGTATTTACAAAATATTTTTAAGAGAATATTATCAAAAATAGTTTAGATGAATTTAAAAATTAAATTTTGAGAATTTTACTTATGAAAATGTGATTATACATGTGAAATATAATATGTTGATACAGTTAAAATACATTTAACGTTATAGAATTTGTAAAGATAAGAAAAAAATCATATTTAAGATTATTAAATGCTCTCATTTACATAGACTTGTGTCTAATAGTAGTTTCTTCCAATATCTTCAAATATCATTCATCACTTCATTTAATACAACTTTTTGAGCATTTAAAGTTTGAAAATAATAAACAAACTTCATTTTTTATTTTCCTTGGGCATACATTTGAAATCTTTAGATCAATATGTATATTTTACACTTGAGAGAGAGAAGGTATGGGACTTTATTTTTCTATTCATTATTGGGTATTGTAAGAAAAGAGCAGGAATTCCTTCAGAAAAAAGTGTTAAAGGAACACTTGTGACAGTAGTGGGTTGTTGTGTAAAACAAAGACTTGTAGAAGCTACGGTTTGTTAACCTTATATTAAAAAAAAAAAAAAAAGAAAAGAAAAACCACAATGAGGAGTGCAGTTAATCAACATTGCATAAAACAAATATTATGAAAGAAGTAACTTGTCGGCGTTAAATAAACAAGCATTACCAAAAGTGTAGCTTGTCGACCTTGAGAAAAACAAGCATTACAAAAAATAGAGCCTGTCGACGTTGGAAACAATAAGTAGTTGTAACTGTGAAGGTTATTAGTGCAATTCTTAAATGGTGAGTTGAGGAAAGAAGATAAACATGTATTGAGTGAAACCTACATAAATCATGTTTACATCTTCTTGTAAAACATTGGAATATTAAAAAGGAAATATTAGCTTAAAAAAAAGATATATTAGCTTTCTTGAGATAAAATAATTTAGAAAGAGATCACCTTTGAAAATCTGAGCAAACGGAAGAAAAATAGCACAACTAATAAAACTTTCTACAATAACAAAAAAGGGAGAAAAAACTTAGAAATGCATGCTTTGAAATAAACAAATGTATGAGGCAATTTAACGCAGACAATAATCAATTAAGAGAAAAATAAAAAATATTAGGAATATCTGACTAGGCATCATGACGCATTAATCTATTTAATTATGTAAGAAATTGATTAAAAAGGTTGAAAATTGTAACATCCCGCAACCAGGAGACGCGGGAAAAGCAAGATTTCAGGCTGCAGGTGGCCAAACCGCGGACTGCACAACACGCCAAGGTGACGCCCACGCCTTGGGCGTGAGGTGGCAGCTTGCTATTCCACCGGTTGGGAGAGTTGGGTTAGCAATAGCTGCTGCTTCCTTGCCCAGCCAACTGCCAAGGCCACCTCTTCCCCTCTCCAGCTGGTTGCCTCTTTCTTGCAAGCAACGGCCTGCATGATCCAAGGGCTGAGATTGAATGGGAGATTACGTAAAAGCCTCCCATTCTGTCTTCTGTTCTTCATTTTCGTCTAGAAGAGAGAGAGATGTAGAAGAGAGAAACAGACAGAATTAGAGAGCATAGAGAGAGAGAGAGAGAGAGAGAGAGAAACAGAAAGCATAGAGAGAGAAACTGAAAAGAGAGAAGAAACGAAAAACAGAGCGTACGTGTGCGTACGCCTCTGCCCAGAGGAACCGGGTCCTCTTCGCGTGTGAGGTGAACTTCTTCTCTTCTAGTGCATTTTCCTTCCTTCCCTCTTGCTTCGCATCGTTCCCTTGAGCTAACTTAATCTACCCAGAATGTGCAGCAAGCTTCCGACGGAAGCTGTTCCCTCTGCTGCTGTCAACTGCGTATCTGCTGCAGGTAGCTGAGTTTCTCTTGTCTTTTCCGCTTTCCTTATTCTGTTTCCTTGCATTTAGAGGATGTTTAGGGATGCCTTTACATGTTAGGATAAGTGCCTAACCATTTCCTGCAGCAGATTCTTCCCAGAACACTGCAGAAGTCGCTACAAATCCACCCAGCTCTGCACGCATCGCATGGATGTGTTGCAGAGAGTTCATGCGCGATTGGGGGCGATCCACTCGTCCTAAATTTGGTCTCCATTGAGGTGAGAATAGCATTACTCTCTTGAACACATTTAATATTTTTTTAGATGCATTTAGAGAATGAAGTTTGGGTGAAAATAGTAGAAGGTTATGTCTTAACGAAATGTAGAGGTGTGTATGTGTTCATGTGATTTTCTAGAAATTAATGAATGTTTTCTTGAGGCTTTATTGTTTAATTATGTTTGCTAACATGTTTAATGTTTTAGAATTAGGATAGAATCAACATAGGAGAGAAAACCATGGAGAAAATGGTGCAGAAGCCAAAGGGAGTACCCCTGTGATGGGTGCCGAATTCACTAAAAATAAATTCCTATTCAACCACCAATACAGAATTATAGCAGTGTCAAACAGGATTGAATCCTTAGGGAACTGAGAATTACAATTTTGCTTATGACCAATCATACAAGAATAAAAATAGGGAGGATTTTTTCTCTTTTTTTAAATTGAAACAGTTAAAAAAAATAATTTGCCAAAATAATCCTAAATTTATAACTCATATATTGATAGTGCGTAAAAACATCATCTTCATTATCTATTTTTAGGTATTTAATTAGAATAATTGCTATCTTATTTCAGTTATTCCACTCATTTTGATGCATGACAAAATATGAGAGAAAAATCAAGAAAAGCAACATGAAGAAGTGCAGAATTCGTGGAGAAGCCGTCAGACCAAGAATAAGCCTTGCCTAAGGCTTAGGACCAACAAGAAGTAGCAGAATCGAATTCCTTTTCACTTGTTCCTCGGGCAAGGCTAAGGCATCAGCGGAATTACAATTTGCAGACCCACTCAAATAAGCCTCACCTGGGCTTACGTCTCAACAAAAAGAGGAAACATAACTTACCCTTGGGCACAACTAACACCAAGGCATGAGGAGGTACGTCCGATCCACACTTGGCTAGGGCTTAGGACATGTACTGCTATTAATTTGAAAAGGCGCGCTCATGAGATTTAAAAGAGAAAATCCTGCCATAACAGGGATTGGCAATCAAAAATCAAGGGGAAGATGATTTTGGAATGTAAGCTATGTGCCGAAATCAATTGGAAGAAACCTAAAAAGAAACCCTAATCCTTTTAGCTATAAAAGAAAGTGACCAGCATCAAACAAGATCATCATCTCCCTCGTGCCCCACACTGCAACGTCTACAACATCTCTGTATTTTTCTTTTTTTTCCCACTTAACCAAAAAGAAAACCTTGGGCTATAATACCTCAGGCATGGCTAGACATTTTTTCTTTTCCTAGTTAATCATTTTAGTACAACTCCAAAGTGTATTGTGAGATCGAATTGAGCAATCTAAAGTGTACAACTCCAAAGTGTATTGTTTGAGCTAAGAAGGTATTAGTGGTAATTAGTCCCAAGCTAAGGGAACAAACAATCCGGTTGACTAGTTCATGCAGATGAACTCAGGCAACTGAATCAGGTCCTTCTAGTTTCCAAAGCCACTAACAAATTAAATCTCAGGACGTTCTTGGGGTTGTTTGATTGGTGAGAATTAGCTAATGAACGTTTCCTCACTAATTTAAAATTAAGGAAGGATTAGTTATCAGAACATTTCCAACAATTAGAACTGATTTACTACATTATAACCTTATTGATTTTTGCATTAGTGATTTATTACACGATTGGATTGTAGCTAATTTGTTAACTGGGAATGCTTACATAATTTATTAATCTATAATTTTTTTCCAACAGTTTTGTTACTTTAAATACAAACTTGTTTAACTTAAGTATTTTTTCCACCTCTTCCATTCGAAAGAGAAAAAAAACCTCATTTAATTTTGTTTAAACTGGCCACAAAGAGGGAAGGCAATCCTTAGTTCTCTGTGGAATCAATCTTATTTACCACTATTACAATCTTAGTATTATCAGAAAATAGATTTTTTATCTTTGATGGATTTAAAACTCATCAAATTTTGGCATCGTTGCTGGGGAGCTGAGTAACTAATTATTATTTTTTATTTTATGACAAGATCTAATCGTGAGGAACATCTCCTTTACAACCCTGAGATAGAATAGATAGCCAACAGCTTGAGAAAACAGACTGAACAAAGAAAACAAATACAACCACAAGATTCGAGATCTGAAGAAGATAGTGACACTGCAGAAACTGAAAAAACATCAAACTTGATCGCATAGGAATGCACTATGAGGGAGTTGGCTACTCCGCCTATGAACCAATAGCCCTTCTGCATAACCTACCCAAATTGGATATACCCTTTGAGCTGAAGTCGAGTCTGATCCATTTATTGTCTAAATTCAGGGGATTGGAGAATGAGAACCCACACAAACATGTTAAGGAATTCCAAGTGGTGTGCTCCAATATGGAATTACAAGGAGCTTTTAAAAAGTAAATCAAGCTAAGGTCATTCCCACTCTCATTGGATGACACGACCAAGGGTTGGTTGTTTTACCTAGCTCCTGGTTCCACAACAACTTGGGGAGAGATGGTCACGTCGTTCTCAAACACATTTTTTCCTACTTCCCGAGCTGTTGGGGTAAGAAGAGAAATCTACAGCATCAAACATAAGGACACCGAAAGCCACCACGACCACTAGGAAAGGTGAAAAAGATTGTGTGCTAGCTATCCGCAGGATGATATATCTGAACAGTCACTTATCCACTAATTCTATGAAGGACTGATCCTTACAAAAAGAAGAATGCTAGAGGCTGTTAGCGAAAGCACAATAATGAACAAAACTCCCATAGAAGCGAGAGAATTGACATCAATCATGACAACAACTTTGCAGCAATTCGGAGCCTCGCGAAAAACTCCGAAGAGAGTGAATGAGGTAAGTAGTTCTTCTCTCGAATCCTGAATTTTTGAAGTGACACATCTAATACAGAACATGGTTTCAAAAATGGACCACGTGCACGAGAATATAGAATATGCGCACATACAAGACACCCAACATATATGTGTCCCACGCTTCTACAGGATGACACACAGTATGTCAACGCCTTGGGAGGATTCTAGAGTTAACAACAACAGAGATACGATCCCTATTAAAATACATATAACCCCGAATGGAGAGACCATCCGAATTTCAGCTATGGGGCGAGGCACTAGAAGTTTTAACCATACCAAGCCCGACCACCTTTCCAGCAGAGAGCAATTGCCCCGAAGCAAGATATGTCCCTTGAAGAAATAGTGAAATCATTTGCAACTAACATGCAGCAATTACAACAAGAAACAAGGGCTAGTATCAAGAACTTGGAGACCTAGATGAGCCAGCTAGTAACATCTCTCAACATACTAGAATCTCAAGGAAAATTGCCTTCTCAGACTAAGGTCAATCCGAGGCCTAATGTGAGCACAATCACATTATGGAGTGGCAAAGAGCTACAAAACATCTTTCACCGGCCAACCATTGGGCAAGGCTCACGAAGGGAGGCTGAATCAAAAGTCTTGACTAAGGATTCCAACCCAGTTTGTAAAGAAGATAGCTGGGTACCAGTGTGAGATTCTGGACAACTGAAGACACTCGTAGTGAAGGCACCATTCCCAAAGAGGTTTGCCTAGACAAAAAAAAAAAAGAAAAGGAGCATCCAGAGATTCTGGAAATTTTTTGCAAAGTAAAAGTTAATCTCCCCCTTCTTGAAGGAGATTCTGGAAAAGTAAGAATGTGAGGTTTGCATCATTACGCTAAATTCTTGAAGGAATTATGCACACACAAGAAAAGCTGTAATGAAAGAGTCGGTGTAGGGGAGAATGTGTCAGCTATCATACGGAGAAAGTTGCATCTAAAGTGTAAGGACCAAGGCATGTTTGCTATTTCGTATAAAATTGGCACTTTAGGCATAAGAAAGGCTATGTGCGATCTTAGAGCTTCAATCAATGTGATGCCATTGTCTATTTATTCCAAACTGAAGATCAAACAGTTAAAAGAGAGAGAGGTTATTATACAATTAGCTGACAGATCCATGGTTTACCCTAAAAGGGTGCTCGAAGATGTATTGGTGCAAGTAGACAATCTTATCTTTCTTATTCCTATGTGTTAGACATGGAGGATGACAAGTCTTCAAACTCATTCGACCTCTTGTTAGGAAAACTGTTTCTCAGCACTGCCAAGACCAAAATTGATGTGCACGGTACACTCACCATGGAGTTTGACGGGGAAGTGGTCGGGTTCAACGTCTATGATGCCATGAAGTATTTCACTGACTTGTTCTACGTATACAGTGTTGATATTCTGGATTCCTTGCAGCATAGGCATTTCAACCTATACTTTGGAGATAAGATGGATACGGATCTTAGTAACGCACTATACTCTAAAGACTTGGAGGGTTTGGAAGAAGACTATATGGCTGATGGAAAGTTGCAAGAAGGGTGTTTGAACTGATTCATCAAAATGACTCAAAGATAACATTCCACAATGTAATCTTTCTAGTTCTCAAACAAAGATTTTGCCTTATGTTTTGCAAGCCCTAAGTTGGAACTGAAGTCTTTATCAGGGAACTTGAAGTATGTCTTCTTAGGAGAAGAGGAAACACTTCCCATCATAACTTTTAACAAGCTGAGTAAAACTAAGGAGAAGAAATTGATACGAGTACTCTGCGAGTACAAAGAAGCGGTGGGATGGACCATTGTTGACAACAAAAGGACATCATCCTCAACGTGTATGCACAAGATACTGATGGAGAAAAATAACAAACCTAGTAGATAGGTACAAAGGCGTTTGAAACTACTTATGATGGATGTAGTGAAAAAGAAATTCCTTAAATTGATGAACATTTGAGTGATTTACCTAATTTCAGACAGCAAGTGGGTGAGCCCAGTGCAAGTAGTACCAAAAAAGACTGGAATAATGGTGATCGAAAACCAGGACAGTGCGAAAAGGTCAACTAGGATATAAAACGGATGAAGGATCTGTATTGACTACGAAAAACTAAATGTTTCCACTAGAAAAAACCACTTCCCCCTTATATTTATCGATCAGATGCCAGAGAGACTTGCTGGAAGAACACATTATTGTTGCCTGGATGGTTATTTAGGGTTCTATCATATTCAATTTGCTCTAGAAGACTAAGAACCTACCATCTTTACCTGTCTTTTCGGCACCTTTGTTTATAGAAGGATTCCTTTTAGCTCTGCAACACCCCATTCACTTTTCAGAGGTGCATGTTTAACATCTTTTCTAATTTGGTGGAGCAGATTATTAAGATCTCCATAGAAAATTTTACAGTCTATAGAGATTCTTTCGATGAATGCCTGAAAAACCTCACTAAAGTACTAAAACGGTGCCTTAAAACTAATCTTGTCCTAAATTATGAGAAATGTCATTTTATGGTTGATTAAGGACTAATCTTGGGTCACATAGTGTCTTCAAAGAGTATAGAGGTGGATAAAATGATGGTCGATGTGATTAAGTCTCTACCTTATCCTCAAAGTGTGTGTGAAATTCGTTCGTTCTTCGAGTATATTGGTTTCTGTAGGAGATACATCAAGAAATTCTTAAAAATCACGTAGCCTTTATGTAAATTGCTACACAAGGAAGCCTATTTTGAGTTGGATGAATCCTGTAGAAATGCATTTAACACATTGAAGGAGAAGTTGATTACGACACTTATCATGCAGCCACTGGATTGGAACCTACTATTTGAAATCATGTGCAATGCCAGTAATCAGGCCATAGGTGCAGTTATCAAAATGTAGATGAGAAAAGATCCACGTGTCATCTATTATGCTTCCACGACTTTAGATAGTGCTCAAGTGAACTATTTCTACACGGAAAAAGAGCTACTAGTCATTGTGTTACAATGGAAAAATTTTGCTCCTATCTACTAGGAACTAAGGTCATTGTGTTTTCTGATCGCGTGGCATTAAAGTACTGCTCAAACAAAAGATGTCAAGTCAAGATTGATCTAGTGGATTCTACTACTGCAAGAGTTTGACTTGGAGATAAGGGCAAAAGGGGCATGGAAAACTTGGTTGCTGATCATCTTAGTCATCTACCTCAGGATATAGAACCTTTGTTGCTGAAAGATGAATTCCTAGATGAGCAGCTCTTCTTAGCACAACAGATCACACTGTGGTACAATGACATTGTCAATTTCTTAGTCACATGTACCTTCTAGATGAACTATTAAGGTCGTAGAAAGACAAAATCAGAAGAGAAGTCAGGCAATATATATGGGATGATTTGTATATGTGGAAATATTGCACAGACCAGATCATCTGTCGATGTGTCCTGGAAGTAGAAATCCCTTCTATCTTGAGTTTTTGTCATTTACACGCTTACGGAGGACATTTTGGCCTCAAACGCATGACTCCAAAGATGTTAGAATACAGTTTATTTTGGCCTTTTTTTTTGTTTCAGGATGCATACTTTTACTGCAAAGCTTATGAAAATTCCCAGAAGACTTGGACTGTAAACAGCAGGGACCAAATGCCTTTGACACCCATCCTTATTTGTGAAATTTTTTATGTATTAGGGATCGACTTCATGGGGCCCTTCTCTTTTTTTGGAAACTCAAATATCTTGTTGGTTGTCGACTACGTTTCGAAGTGGGTAGAAGCTAAGGTAACTCGATTAGACGATGGAAAAACTGTGGTCAAATTCATCAAATCCCATATTTTTATACAGTTTGCAATGATTAGTGATAGAGGCATGCATTTCTCTAATCAAGTTATTGCGACACTCCTCAAAAGATACCATGCCACTCACTATACTTCCATCACTTATCATCTGCAAACTAGTAGACAAGTATAAGTTTCTGATAGAGAGTTAAATCCATTATGGAAAAGACAGTCCATCCTAACCTAAAGGACTAGAGCTTGGGGCCAGAGGATGTCTGTGGGCTTATAGAACAGGTTATAAGACTCCTATAGGAATATCGCCATATCGACTTGCCTTCGGCAAGGCTTGTCACGTTTTTGTAGATTTGGAACACAGAGCGTATTGGGCAATCGAGAGTTGTAATATGAAGATGGAAGAAGTCGGAGAACAGAAGAAGCTACGACTATAGGAACTGGAAGAGATAAGAAGGGAAGCCCATGAAAATGCGTGCATCTACAAAGCAAAGACAAAGGCCTTTCATGATTAGATGATTTTAAGAAAGCAATTTTCTGTAGGACAGAACATTCTGTTGCATAACTCCCATCTGAAACTATTTCCAGGCAAACTACATTCTAGATGGCTAGGACCTTTCATTGTCACTGCCATCTATTCTCACGGAGCTATTGAAATCAAAAGCCTGGACGCACACAAGATTTCAAAGTGAACGGGCACCGACTAAAGCCGCTTTATGAGAGTTTTACTGAGCAATAAGTCGAGGAAGTGATCCTCGTGAATCTTGCGGATAATAACTGACAACTCACAAGCAACGTCCAACCTAAGATGATAAACAAGGGTGCTTAATGGGAGGCAACCCATTTGGTTTCTTCGTTACTTTTATCTCCTTTCTTCTTCTTTCCTTTATTGGTCATTTTTGTCATTTGCTAATGCTACTTTAACTTATATTTTTCTTCCTTATTACAGGTCATTCAAAGACCTACTCAAGGTTGCTTAATTCTCGAACAAAGATCATGTCGAACCTGACTGATATTGAGAAGAAGAGAATTACCCTTGCCCAAGGCTAGTGCAGATTTGTTGATCCTTGCCCAAGGTTTAATCACACAGCAATGCTTGAGCAGCTATATGGCGGTCACCACGTAAGCCTTTCCCAAGCCTTGTATTCCGATCACTCAGAAATTTTGACCCCAACGGATTGTGTTAACCTTGCCTTAGGGTAATGAACATTCAAACCCTCAATCAAAATCTTACGTAAGCCTTGCCCAAAGCTTACATTTTAAGCCTGTGGGGAGGGTACAATAGTCAGTTAACTTGTATTAACCTTGCCCAAGCCTTATTCTCCAGAAAAGAGTCCTACCCAAACCTTGCCCTAGGGTAGATTGCACCGTCACCCGTTCTCTATATCTTAAACCTTGCCCAAGCCCAAAACAAATCGTCCAATTTACCCTTAGCCTAGGTGCTCGAAACCTAGCACCCTTTTTAAATTTCAAAAACCCCTAAACCTTGCTCTAACCTCTCTGCATCTTTCCTAACCTTCAACCCCAACTCTGATTCATAACCACCAACAACTGCAGACACCAGACCTGTGACCCCCGACCTTATTTCGCCATTTGTCAAGATGAGAAAAATGTGGAAGAGGCTGCACAAAAAATAGCAAAAAAAACAACATAGAGTGCACCAGATCTGCTAGTTCAACCTCTGTAGCCAGAACCACCACACACTAAAAGCAGCTCCATGGGGAACGACCAGTCTCGTCATCAACATTCTTGATTCCCTACTAAATGCGCCAGATACCCATCAAGTTGGACCCAATCGTGCCACCAATCAGCATGAATTAGAATAGCTTGAATCCTAACAACCACACTCCCAGGAACCTACAACCGAAGATGCCAACACTACCCAAGACTAGAAAAGGGCATAAATCTGAAAGGGCAAACATGTACTTCAACCAAACGAGTCCAAACTGAGCGCCTACCTTGCCTTCCCGGAAGAATTAAAGAAAAGAAGGTATGAAAAAGTATCTAAACTTTCACATTGTACCAGGAAAATGTTGTCATGCCCCTACCCTAAAAATTTGCAACATCAAAGAGGAGGTTTTGTAACTGACTAACGACATCGGTTGGTCTCTTTACTTCGAGAACACCCTGCCGGCATACGTGGAATTAGTTCGAGAATTTTAATTTACCTTCGAATTTTACAAACGGATCAATTTCACTTTGGAGAAACCTAACGTGGCCTCCTTCCGGTTGATGGGCCAGTGCTTCAACTTTTAACTCAGTAAGTTCCAAAACGCCTTGGGATTCTTTGACCTTTTCCTTGAGCACCCATTCTGCAATTATAGTGAGGATTTCAACTCAACCTCTATTTATGAGGAGTTTTGTGATAACCCACCAGACACCTATGACCCCAACAAATCCAAAGGCCTCTACTTACAGGCACAAAGTATGAAGTACATCCACAATTTCCTCGCCTACTCTTTTTTCAGCCGCAAGGACACACCGAGCATCCTATCCAAAACTTAACTCTATTTCTTATGGTGCATGGTGCACAAGAGACGAGTGAACTTAGGCTTTTAGATGGCCATACAATTCTCAAATATCATCACCTTCTAGTTACCACTGATCCTAGGATCTGTCATCACCAGGCTTACTGTCAGCCTCACTAGCTTTGACACCACATAAAATGACTTGTATATAGCCTTCCCATAAGCACTCCTGGACTTAGGTTCTCTTAATGCGATGGGCTTGCTGATGCTTAAATATGACATCCCTTGCTTTGCAGCTCAAGGCCCACCTGTACCAAAAGACCAGCACATATCTAACAAAAACAAGGAGCTATGAGATCCTCGAGGTATAATACCCCAACTTTGTAACAATTAATGAATTATAAAACTACAATATTTCAGGCTGTTGGTCACAGGATTGTTGAAATTATGAGCACTTTTTATTTTAATTAGTTTTCTAAAATTTTTGTTTGAATTAACCAAAATTTTAGGAGAAAAAAACAAGGAAATAAGTAGCTTAGGAAAACACAGACCTCAACCTTCAGCCCATGGCTCACGGCCCATGGCTCATGGTCCATGGCTCATGGCCTGTGACCCACGCGCCGCAGACCGTGACTCGCGAATAGCCTGTGCAGGCATCCCTGCGAGCACTACGAACGCTCTGTGGGCGCAGCCAATGGCGTCACCCCTTGCGCATGCGAGCAACGCTATTGTACGTTGTCACTGACGGGACAGCCTTGTCCCATTGATCAAAGGCCATGTTTGGCCTTTTTGTTTTCCTTTAGCCATACTTGGTCGGCCCCAAATTCACCCCTTCACTCAATTTCACCGATTTTCGCCAACTGGTGCAAATTTGGCCTCCATTTTTTCTATTCAAACCCCCCATCCTCTCGATTTCCTCCACTTCATTTTCCTTCTTCACTTTTCCAAATTTAAAAAAGAGAAAGAGAGAGACTTTTAGAGAGAGAAAGGGGAGATTTTCAAGGAGTGAAAAAGAAAAAAAAAGTTTGGAGTTTCAGAAGCTCATTCGAAAGATTTCTAGAAGTTCTTTTTTCGCTACCCAAAA